AGAAGGCCAGATTATAGTTTGCCAAATGACATCTAAAAAAGCCTTCACAGTTCCGCAGCAACATCCTATGGACAGATGAGACCAAGATCAACTTGTACCAGAGTGATGGGAAGAGAAGAGTATGGAGAAGGAAAGGAACTGCTCATGATCCTAAGCATACCACCTGATCAGTGAAGCATGGTGGTGGTAGTGTCATGGTGTGGGCATGTATGGCTGCCAATGGAACTGGTTCTCTTGTATTTATTGATGATGTGACTGCTGACAAAAGCAGCAGGATGAATTCTGAAGTGTATTGGGCAATATTATCTGCTCATATTCAGCCAAATGCTTCAGAACTCATTGGACGCCGCTTCACAGTGCAGATGGACAATGACCCAAAGCATACTGCAAAAGCAACCAAAGAGTTTTTTAAGGGAAAGAAGTGGAATGTTATGCAATGGCCAAGTCAATCACCTGACCTGAATCCGATTGAGCGTGCATTTCACTTGCTGAAGACAAAACTGAAGGGAAAATGCCCCAAGAAACAAGCAGGAACTGAAGACAGTTGCAGTAGAGGCCTGGCAGAGCATCACCAGGGATGAAACCCAGCGTCTGGTGATGTCTATGCGTTCCAGACTTCAGGCTGTAATTGACTGCAAAGGATTTGCAACCAAGTATTAAAAACGTGAAAGTTTGATTTATGATGATGATTTTGTCCCAATACTTTTGGTCCCTTAACAAGTGTGGGAGGCACATATGCAAACCGATGTAATTCCTACACCGTTCACCTGATTTGGATGTAAATACCCCCAAATTAAAGCTGACAGTCTGCAGTTAAAGCACATCTTGTTCGTTTCATTTCAAATCCATTGTGATGGTGTGTATAGAGCCAAAAATGTTAGAATTGTGTCATTGTCCCAATATTTATGGACCTGACTGTGTGTTTGTGTAAGTATAAAACGTATATATATCATATATGGTGGATATATATAAGAAATGGATGGCATATATAAAGGAAGAGTGGTCCAAAATTCCGGGTGAGAGGTGTCAGAAGCTTATTGATGGTTATAGGAAGCGACTATATATTTGTTTTTATATTTGTTCCAATACATGGGAATAAACATGTGTATATATATACCAAAGGATTTGGTCTTTTCTGCCTCTGTTTTATCATTTGTTCCAATACATACAAAGGGAATAAACATGTGTATAGCATATATATATATATCATAACACATATACATACATACACACACACACACACACACACACACACAGTGGGGATCGAAAGTTTGGGCACCCCAGCTAAAAATTTGTATTAATATGCATAAAGAAGCCAAGGAAAGATGGAAAAATCTCCAAAAGGCATCAAATTACAGATTAGACATTCTTATAATATGTCAACAAAAGTTCGATTTTATTTCCATCATTTACACTTTCAAAATAACAGAAAACAAAAAAATGGCGTCTGCAAAAGTTTGGGCACCCTCCAGAATTTATAGCATGCACTGCCCCCTTTGCCAAGCTGAGACCTGCCAGTGTCATGGATTGTTCTCAATCATCGTCTAGGAAGACCAGGTTATGTCAACGTCAAAGGTTTTAAATGCCCAGACTCATCTGACCTTGCCCCAACAATCAGCACCATGGGTTCTTCTAAGCAGTTGTCTAGAAAACTGAAACTGAAAATAGTTGACGCTCACAAAGCTGGAGAAGGCTATAAAGAAGATAGCAAAGCCTTTTCAGATGTCAATATCCTCTGTTCGGAATGGAATTAAGAAATGGCAGTCATCAGGAACAGTGGAAGTTAAAGCGAGATCTGGAAGACCAAGAAAAATATCAGACAGAACAGCTCGCAGGATTGTGAGAAAAACAATTCAAAACCCACGTTTGACTGCACGATCCCTCCAGAAAGATCTGGCAGACACTGGAGTTGTGGTACACTATTCCACTATAAAGAGATACTTGTACAAATATGGTCTTCATGGAAGAGTCATCAGAAGAAAACCTCTTCTACGTCCTCACCACAAAAATCATCGTTTGAACTTTGCAAATGTACATATAGACAAGCCTGATGCATTTTGGAAACAAGTTCTGTGGACCGATGAGGTTAAAATTGAACTTTTTGGCCGGAATGAGCAAAGGTACGTTGGGAGAAGGGGCACAGAATTTAATGAAAAGAACCTCTGTCCAACTGTTAAGCATGGGGTTGGATCAATCATGCTTTGGGGTTGTGTTGCAGCCAGTGGCACAGGGAACATCTCACGAGTAGAAGGAAAAATGGATTCAATAAAATGTCAGCAAATTTTGGATGGTAACTTGATGCCATCTGTGAAAAAGCTGAAGTTAAAGAGAGGATGGCTTCTACAAATGGATAATGATCCTAAACACACCTCGAAATCCACGGGGGATTACATCAAGAGGTGTAAACTGAAGGTTTTGCCATGGCCTTCACAATCTCCTGACCTCAACATAATTGAAAATCTATGGATAGACCTTAAAAGAGCAGTGCGTGACAGACAGCCCAGAAATCTCAAAGAACTGGAAGACTTTTGTAAGGAAGAATGGGCAAAGATACCTCAAACAAGAATTGAAAGACTCTTGGCTGGCTACAAAAAGTGTTTACAAGCTGTGATACTTGCCAAAGGGGGCAGTACAAGATATTAACTCTGCAGGGTGCCCAAACTTTTGCAGACGCCATTTTTTTGTTTTCTGTTATTTTTTGAAAGTGTAAATGATGGAAATAAAATCGAACTTTTGTTGACATATTATAAGAATGTCTAATCTGTAATTTGATGCCTTTTGGAGATTTTTCCATCTTTCCTTGGCTTCTTTATGCACATTAATACAAATTTTTAGCTGGGGTGCCCAAACTTTCGATCCCCACTGTATCTGTGTGTGTGTGTGTATATATATATATACACACACACACACACACACACACACACACATATACAACACACACATACACACACACACACACACACACACACACACACACATACACATATATATATATATATACACATACACATACACATACATACACACAGGATTTTTTTTTTTTAAACTGTTAATGTCGGTGATCAGCAATTTATAGTGAGACTGACAGTGTGGTGGGCAATCTTACATTAACACTGGGTAGGAACTGACTGAACATGACATCACCAGTGACACTAATACAGTGATCAGTGCTAATATACACTTTCGCTATAATGACACTCGCTATTCTGCGTTTCTTTTTGCTAAAAAACTTTGTTTCTTGTTCCTGCAAAGCAGGGAGAAGGGTGTAACTGTGTGCCTAACTTAGCATTAGTGAGTATTCGCGTTTCTTTTTGACGCAAAGAAAAAATTGTTCTCTCTGTATAGAGCTCTGTTTCTATCCAATCATAGCCCAGAGCTCTGTGTTGACCATTGTCAGTCAGAAGATCCCAGCCATCAATCATTGGCTGTGACTTGTTGACAGAATCCTGCAGGTCCTGTACCCAGAAGAGGCCATCGACGTACAGGTATGTCACTGTACCTGTATGGGCCACCCATCTGCAGTACACTGTGGGCGGTCCTTAAGCAGGTAATCTAATTGTCATGAAATGGTTTACTGTATTTTTCTGTCTCCTTGAAACATACTCGAGAGCCCAAACCTCCCCTACACTTCCATTTGTCTGGAATGAGCAGTGCATGTTGGTTACAGTCATGTAAACCTTTCTATGCACGCTACAAATCTCAGTCAATAGTCCATCTTGGGAGTGAGCAAAAGAGGATGAGTATGTTCCTATGCACAGTGATCCCATGGAAATAAAAAAAGTGTATCCACCCTGTGAGAGGAACTGAAATCACAACAGCAATAAAAAAGGAAATCAGAAGTTGGAGGAGACTGCGATCAATAGAAGGTACGTGTAGGAAATAAATGAATAGAATCTTATTTTTTTTAAACCAGAGTTCAGGGCCACTTTAAAAGCACCCTTCAGTTCCAGTTTAAGGGAAAGCAAACAGTGCTGTGACTTTAAACAAGCCCATAGCAGGTAGCAGGCTTTCAATAAACTCAGCACTTCATGAAACATATTGAAAACCTGCTAGCAAAATTGTTTAAAGTGGCAGTTAACAATTCACTTATAATATGTATTTATCGTTGCCAAACGAGCTTTAAAAGACTTTGAGAAAGCTCCTTGAAGCTTGCTGAAAGGTGTGCAAATGCTTGATCACAGCTTGCTGCACACAATGCTCCTATACAAGCCGAAGCCCACATATACAAAACCTCCCATTCAAGAAGACAACTTCTATTTAGGCAGGAAGCAGTTATACTTATTAACATTACAAGATGCAATTTCATAATGGACCACCTTTTCTAAAAAGCAAAGCATACCCATCCTGTTTTTCTACTATGGAAAAATTAGACCTGTTACTGCTTCAGATATCCCCGTTTTCCCTTAGCAAAAAAGAAGGCATTGACAGACAAGTCAGGACAATCTCTATAAACTATACTGAGCGGATCATGTTTGTAAAACTTTTGCAGAATAAAAAATGTAAACACAGAATGACAGGCAATGTATAATACATGATGGGAAAAGTTTTTGGTTTTTTTTTTGTATTTCTAAAACACAGAATTTCATTTCCAGAATAGATCACCATATAAAATTCATGACAGAAATTCTGCTGCACTGCCATTAGACTGACATTCAAAACACTTAGTCAGTAGAAAATGTACCTGTCAAAAATCACCATGTGAAACAGAACCGAAGAGATACCAGAGGAACAAAAGTACTTTAAATTAAGCATCAGCATTACTGGATGACAAGGCCATCTCTTCCTACCAAAGGAAAGCTGCTCCAATATTAAATAACTAGAGGTGGTCAGGAGAAATGTTATGAACTGGCTTTTCTGACAAGCTTCCAATTTGCTTCTAGCTAAAGGATTTTACTCAGAATGCACCAAAGCAAAAACAATATATCAATACACAACACAAGAAGCAGAAAACAATTCAGCTGTTACATCAATTTACAAATTATTTTTGTTTTAGGTCTTACCTTACTGTCATCTCCTTGCCTCATTCGACCAGGACTAGCAGGAACTGATGGCCGTTTACGCCCCTTTTCTTGCTGAAAAAGATCTTGTAACCTGTCAAAGAGAAATATGTTTGATTCACTGCCCCAATTTAGTTCTAAAACAGGTATTTAATGAGTAATTAGAGTAAAGCCAGTCATACACCAGTAGAATTTTGTTAGAAAATTGAATGATTGTATGTTCCAAAAACATGTTTTCAAATGGTTGGCGGGGTCCACCTTGAGCCTGGGTTCACACTGATGCGGTGCAGCACATTGCATGCGATTTGTACAGGAACCGCACTCCTGTGCAAATCACATGCAATTTCTGTGCGCTGCAATTGAGCCATTTTGTATGGCTTAAATCGCACCAAACGCAACAAAAAAGTGCAGGACCCTTTTATGTCCACACCAGAATCAGATCACAAGGGTGTTCACATCTATGCAATCCGATTCTGCACATTTTACCACGTTTTGCAAACCAATTTCGGGTGTTAACTTAAAATACACACACCGCAGCGGTTTGTGTGAACAGGGTGCGATTATGATGCGGTGCGGAAGTCGCACAGAAACCGTGGCCTACAATTCGCAGTCTTGGGGACCTTGGACTCTTGATGCAGCTGAAAGGTCATGCTCACAATAAATTAAAATCTAAATTACAACAAAAAAAAAAAATTCATTTATTGTGAGCATGACCTTTCAGCTGCATCAAGAGGCCGAGGTCACAGACTGCGAGAATTGTAGGCCAGCCAACTGTCTAGTCTCTCATTCTCCAATCTTTTGGACCCTGGACCCTTCAGTCACCTTACCGAAGGCATGTTCATTAAACTACAGAGAAGTTGAAACATATGGCTTAATCATGAAGTACATGAGCTGCACTGAATTGCAGCCTAATCTAGTCATTTGATGTGATGGATGCTACACTATAAAAAAAAAAAAAAAAAAAAAGTATATTCCATCACTGACGGGAGAGGAGAGAGTTGGTATTGATACAGCTCATTTGGAGGAACAAGCGGTTACCATTAGCATTACTGGTTCACTGGGATAGTCCCAAAAGCGCAAAACGACCATCCTAGAGATTGGTGGTCATGGGATGACTGAGTGTCAGTCCATGTGGGGCACTAGTAGAGCACCTGTTGTATTGTAAAAGGAGTTCACAATCAAGATTACCAGCACTTTGCACCATACTTTCACTTATTGGGACTGATTACCATTGTTTATTTCATTGTTCTATTGATATTGCACTACTTTTGCGCGGTCCATATGGTTATTTGCTTGTGTGTCTAAGTTCACAATTAGGACTGCTGCAAATGGTTATTGGAATTATTTGATACATCCATAAGCGCATTAGCACTCCCCTTTTTTTCCCCACAGTAAAACAATGTAACCACTTGACCTCTGGAAAATTGACTTCCCTTCATGACCAGGCCATTTTTTTGCTATACAGTGCTGCATTACTTTAACTGACAATTGTGCGGTCATGCAACGCTGTACATAAATTAAATTTATATAATTTTTCCCCCCCACAAATATTGCTTCTTCTTGGGTGGTATTTGATCATCACTGTTTTTTTTTAATATTTTGCACTATAAAAACAAGAAACTCGAATTTAAAATAAAATGAAAAAAAAAAAAAACTTTTAAACTTAACTTTTAAACCTAACACTTTAAAACGTTTTTTAAAAACTTTCTGCTATAAAATATATCCAATAAAATTTAAAAAAAAAAATCAAATTTCTTTATAAAATTTAGACCAAAATGTATAATGCTACATATTTTTGGTAAAAAAAAAAAAAAAAAAAAATCCCAACATATGTTGATTGGTTTGCGCAAACGTTATAGCATCTACAAAATATAGTATATATTGGATATTTTTTTCTCTTATTTTTCTACTAGTAACCATGGCAGTCAGTGACTTTGTGGGAACCAGTGACACTAACACAGTGATCAGTGCTAAAAGTATACACCGTCACTGTAATGACACTGGCTGGGAAGGAGTTAAACATCTAGGGCGATCATAAACTGCATGCCTAACTATGTGTTTTACGTAGTGTGTTAGGTGTGTTTTACTAGGCAATCTGCTAGAATTTATTCCCTGCTTTGTAGGGAAAGAAAATCTAGCTGATCGCCACTGACAGGACACAGCTCTGCTTTGTCTACATAGAGCCGTGTCCTGTCACGCACCTCGATGATCAACGGGTGCCAGCGCTCATCCATTGGCCGGCACCTGTTTAATAGCTTCTGCTGTGTCCAATCACAGCAGAAGCAGCGCGCCCCCCCCGATGCTGGAAGTGCAAAATCACATTTATAAACTTGATTTTGCACAGAACATCCACCCTGAAACAGTAAATCTACTCTAGGGCAGACAGAAAGTGTTTATTTCAACATGAACTTTTCATGATCAATATATAGATATTTATAATCAGCTGGTTTCAGATTCTAGTTTTGGGCTGTCATCTACTGCAAAATTCAGTGAGTCCAAGTATGTGATGGCAATTCGGACTTTAGTGAAAAGCTGACCCGTGGCAAGTTTTGCTGCCAGTAAAGTGCTTGGAGAGGGTGACGTGCCATCTGTAA